TCGTAAACCTTATAGTACTTTATCTGTAGTAAACCTACAGTACCTTACCTGTGTAAACCTATATACATTACCTGTAATAAACCTATAGTACCTTACTGTAGTAAACCCTATAGTACCTTTACCTGCTAGTAAACCTATAGTACCTGTTAGTGTTAAAACCTATAGTACAGTACTGAGTAAACCTATTAGTACCTCTTACCTGTAGGAACCTATAGTCCTGTAGTAAACCTATAGTACCTGTAGTAAACCTATAGTACCTTACTGAGTAAAACTAGAGTACATACAATGTAGTAAACCTATAGTACCTGTAGTAAAACCTATATTACCTACCTGTAGAAAAAATAGTACATTACCTGTAGTAAACCTATTGCTACATTACTGTAGAAACTATAGTACCTGTAGTAAACCCTATAGTACCTGTAGTAAAAACCTATAGTACCGTACCTGTAGTAAAAATATGGACCTGTAGTAAACCTATAGTACCTTATCCTGTAGGAAAACCTTATTACTGTAGTAAACCTATTAGTACCTGTAGTAAACCTATAGTACCTTACCTGTAGGTTAAACCTATAGTACCTTTACCTGTAGTAAACCTATGTACCTACGTAGTAAACTATAGTACCTGTAGTAACCTATCGTACATTACCTGTAGTAAAACTATAGTACCTTAACATGTAGTAAACCAATAGTACCTGTAGTAAACACTATATACTTACATGTCGTAAACCTATAATACCTGACCTGTAGTAAACCTATTGTACCTTAACCTGTCAGTAAACTATAGTACCTGTAGTAAACCATAGTACCTGCTAGGTAAACCTATAGTACCTTACCTGTAGTAAAACCTATAGACCTGTAGTAAACCTATAGTACTTACTGAGTAAAACCTCTATTACCTGTAGTAAACCTATAGTACCTGTAGTAAACCTATAGTACGTACCTGTTAGTAAAACCATAGTCCTACCTGTGTAAACCTATAGTACTTACATGTAGTCAAACTATAGTACTGTAGTAAAACCTATCGGCCGTACCGTAGTTAAACCTAAGTAACATGTAGTTAAACCTATATAATTAATGTAGTAAACCTATGAGTACCTTACCTGTAGTAAACCTTTAGTACCTACCTGTAGTAAACCTATAGTACCGCCAGACATGTAGTAAACCTTATAGTACCTGTAGATAACCTAAGTTACATTACCTGTAGTAAACTATTAGGACCGTACCTGTAGTTAAGTAAACCATAATACCTTGTAGTAAATCTATAGTACATGTAGAGTAAACTATAGTACCTGTAGGTAAACCTATAGTACTTACCTGTAGTAAACTCTTAGTACCTACCTGTAGGAAACAGATAGTACCTTACCTGTAGTAAACCTATAAGTAACCTTACCTGTAGTATGTAAACCTAGTACCGTAGTAACCTATAGTACCTTGTAGTAAACCTATTTAGTAACTACCTGTAGTAAACTATAGTAAAGTACCTGTAGTAAACATATAGTACTTACCTGATAGTAAACTATAGTAGTACTGACCTGTAGAGTAAACCTTATAGTACCTTGTAGTAAACATATAGTACCATGACTGTAGCTAAACCTCATAGTACACTGTAGTAAACCCGATATCACCTTACCGTAATAAACTATAGTGCCGTACCTGTCGTTAAGCCTATAGTACCTTACCTGTAGTAACCTATAGTACCTTACCTGTAGTAAACCGATAGTACCTTCATCCTGGAGTAACCTATAGTACCTGGTAACCTATAGGTAGTAAAACCTATAGTTCCTTACCTGTAGTAAACCCATAGTACCTGTAGTAAACCTATAGTACCTTACCTGTAGTAAACCTATAGTACCTTACCTGTATTAAACCTATATTACCTGTAGTAAACCTATAGTACCTTACCTGTAGTAAACCTATAGTACCTTACCTGTAGTAAACCTATAGTACCTTACCTGTAGTAAACCTATAGTACCTATAGTAACCTATATTACCTTACCTGAGGACCAACAACTCCTCCTGGGCCGGGTGGACCTGTCTTTCCTTGGAATCCCTGTGGACAAGAACAACATATCAATTCTTGCAGAACAACTTGATCTCGATCAATGCAATAACTTCCTCCAATTTTGCTATTGATGTAATTCTTCCAAAATGATAATTTGAATCTATGGACATAGTGGAGTCAGTGTTGTGTGTAGCCCAATGGACAACCACTAAATGTAATATGTTGACAAGGGTTAGAGGATGAGGAGTACTTGTACTTACTGGTTTAACCATGCAATTACTGTGTGCAGTATGATACATGAAAACACATTAGTTATGGAAATATTACATTATATCGTTTATGTTATGTTCCATTACATTTGTTTTTCAGTTTTTTATTTGTTTATTTCCATGTTGTCATGTTTAGGATGTCTGGGTAACTGGTCCCTGGTGTCTGGGTAACTGGTGTCTGGTGTCTGGGTAACTGGTCCCTGGTGTCTAGGTAACTGGTCCCTGGTGTCTGGGTAACTGGTCCCTGGTGTCTGTGTCTAGGTAACTGGTCCCTGGTGTCTGGGTAACTGGTCCCTGGTGTCTGGGTAACTGGTCCCTGGTGTCTGTGTCTAGGTAACTGGTCCCTGGTGTCTGGGTAACTGGTCCCTGGTGTCTGGGTAACTGGTGTCTGGTGTCTGGGTAACTGGTCCCTGGTGTTTGGGTAACTGGTGTCGGGTGTCTGGGTAACTGGTGTCTGGGTAACTGGTCCCTGGTGTCTGGGTAACTGGTCCCTGGTGTCTGGGTAACTGTTCCCTGGTGTCTGGGTAACTGGTCCCTGGTGTCTGGGTAACTGGTAACTGGTGTCTGTGTCTAGGTAACTGGTCCCTGGTGTCTGTGTCTAGGTAACTGGTCCCTGGTGTCTGGGTAACTGGTCCCTGGTGTCTGGGTAACTGGTCCCTGGTGTCTGGTTAACTGGTCCCTGGTGTCTGGGTAACTGGTCCCTGGTGTCTGGGTAACTGGTCCCTGGTGTCTGGGTAACTGGTCCCTGGTGTCTGGGTAACTGGTCCCTGGTGTCTGGGTAACTGGTCCCTGGTGTCTGGGTTACTGGTCCCCGGTGTCTGGGTTACTGGTCCCTGGTGTCTGGGTAACTGGTCCCGGGTGTCTGGGTAACTGGTCCCTGGTGTCTGTGTCTGGGTAACTGGTCCCTGGTGTCTGGGTAACTGGTCCCTGGTGTCTGGGTAACTGGTCCCTGGTTTCTGGGTAACTGGTCCCTGGTGTCTGGGTAACTGGTTCCTGGTGTCTGGGTAACTGGTCCCTGGTGTCTGGGTAACTGGTCCCTGGTGTCTGGTTAACTGGTGTCTGGTGTCTGGGTAACTGGTGTCTGGTGTCTGGGTAACTGGTGTCTGGTGTCTGGGTAACTGGTCCCTGGTGTCTGGGTAAACTCGTGTCTGGTGTCTGGGAAACTGGTGTCTGGTGTCTGGGAAACTGGTGTCTGGTGTCTGGGTAACTGGTCCTTGGTGTCTGGGTAACTGGTCCTTGGTGTCTGGGTAACTGGTCCCTGGTGTCTGGGTAACTGGTCCCCGGTGTCTGGGTAACTGGTCCTTGGTGTCTGGGTAACTGGTCCCTGGTGTCTGGGTAACTGGTCCCTGGTGTCTGTGTAACTGGTCCCTGGTGTCTGGGTGTCTGGTGTCTGGGTAACTGGTGTCTGGTGTCTGGGTAACTGGTCCCTGGTGTCTGGGTAACTGGTCCTTGGTGTCTGGGTAACTGGTCCCTGGTGTCTGGGTAACTGGTCCCTGGTGTCTGGGTAACTGGTTACTGGTGTCTGGGTAACTGGTCCCTGGTGTCTGGGTAACCAGACAACAGGGTCCAGTTACCTAGACACAGACACCAGGGACCAGTTACCCAGACACCAGGGACCAGTTACCCAGACACCAGGGACAAGTTACCCAGACACCAGAGACCAGGAACCCTAGTCCTGGACTAAACAGCTATTTCAGATTCTCAATTCAGCATGCTTATCAGTCCAGAATAAAGATGTATCTGTTTTTCGGAAACTGGCTAAGAAAGTTAATCAAAAGACATAGGACAATATCAAGGACTTAAATTTTTCCCTTTTATAGTAATGATTTAACTTGAGACTCCAAAAGGGAAATATCATCCTAAGGATATTTTCATCTAAAGTAAAACTATGATCTCAATATCTGAAGTGGACTTGATGCTAATTGGTCAGACATCAAGCATAGTGATGGAATCAGACGTGAAATCCCTTAGCTGTCTGTTTGATTCAGATCAAAGATGGCATGAACGTCTTCATCGATTTCTTGTCTGTATGCATCTGTTGTTGCATTCTATGCTATGATGTCAACTCCTGACGACATAGACTGACTGAGAAGAACGGACAAAGTCAACGTATAATTCAACGACCACGATAAGATACATAAAACATACAGATATCAAACATGAAGAGAAGGCAGGGAGGAGATACGTTGACTATGTCATGTCAAAATAAACAAAAGGATTGTAGATAGCTGATGCCAATCATGTCACATTTTATGTCCGCTTATATATATATATTTTATGTAGTCCCGTGTAGCTCAGTTGGTAGAGCATGGCGTTTGCAACGCCAGCGTTGTGGTTCCGATTCCCACGTGGGGCCAGTATGAAAATGTATGCACTCAGTAACTGTAAGTCGCTCTGGATAAGAGCGTCTGCTAAATGACTAAAATGTAAATGTAATATCGGAGTATTTAGACTTATTCTGGGAGGTGAAATATGTTACAGTCTAGCCAGGGGTATGCTGTTGTTAGGGTTAATGGAAAAACCTTTTCAGTTGTTGGGCATTCAACAGTCAAATGTTTGATGACTTCTCATGGAGTCATTATCTTGTGGCAGAGTGATTAATGATTGGGCATTGTTTGGAAAAGATTCAGACAGCTTTTTTGCCACCCGGCCTAAAAAACAGATGGATAGCAAGAGAGTTAAATCTTTATATGCACTGAATGCTTCCTCTGCAGTTCTGGGTGGATGGATCAATGCCCACTGCCTAGGGCCAGGGAAGCTGGGTGGATGGATCCATGCCCACTGCCTAGGGCCAGGGAAGCTGGGTGGATGGATCTATGCCCACTGCCTAGGGCCAGGGAAGCTGGGTGGATGGATCTATGCCCACTGCCTAGGGCCAGGGAAGCTGGGTGGATGGATCCATGCCCACTGCCTAGGGCCAGGGAAGCTGGGTGGATGGATCTATGCCCACTGCCTAGGGCCAGGGAAGCTGGGTGGATGGATCCATGCCCACTGCCTAGGGCCAGGGAAGCTGGGTGGATGGATCCATGCCCACTGCCTAGGTCCAGGGAAGCTGGGTGGATGGATCCATGCCCACTGCCTAGGGCCTGGGAGACTGGAACATCTTATTGCTGCGATCAATTCTGCTATTAGCCACTCCCCCATCCTGTTACCAGGTAATAAAACCAGCGCCTCAGCTAATGTGTCACTTGGGTTGGGAACAACAAATTGAGCGTAAAATTTAACGACTGGGGGTGCTCCCTGCTCTGTGGAGCTGTTAGCAGCTTTTACTGCCCTGTGAGGATAATATAATGGAGAGGGATGAATGCAAAGCTTTGCTGAATAAACTCTAAAAGGAGAACAGTGGGATATGCGGAGAGATGCACTGTTCATGCCGTGTTCATCATGTTAGGGTAATTCTCTCCTGTGTTCCATGCTGTTATTATGCTATGCTTGTTAAAATACAGAATCAGTCTATTCAACTTTAACTTAGTTTATTTAAGGCCTGGAACACAGCTGTCTGGATGTATTTACTGTTTTCCACAACAACCTGGAAAGCAGGGTTGGGGTCAATTCAAATTAAAGGCAGTCAATTGAGGAAGTAAACTTAAATTCCAATTCAATCATTGAAAATATAATGACTTTAATAAAGTAGAAGCTATTTCTTTCAAAAGTTTTACATTTTTGAATTTTTTATTAAAATCACTTCCTGAATTGAGTGCCTTCAATTTGAATTGACCCAGCAGGGAAGATAGACTAGACTCCCTGGCTGCAATAAGACAGGCTTGTGTCTGTGTGTGTTGGGGATCTCTGGGGTAGTCTAGTCTGTGAGCGCAGAATGTGTTTCGCTCTATCAGACATGTCAGGCGCTCTCTCTCCAACATCACATAAATTCATCCTCCTGAAGGACCTGGCCCAGAGAGAACCATAGAGAGACAGAGATAGACAGAGAGAGACGGACAGAACCAGAGCGAGACAGAGAGACGGAGAGAACCAGAGAGAGACAGAGAGAGACAGAGAGAACCAGAGAGAGACAGAGAGAACCAGAGAGAGAGACAAAGAGAGACAGAGAGAGACAGAGAGAACCAGAGAGAGACAGAATGAACCAGAGAGACAGAGAGAGACAAAGAGAACCAGAGAGAGACATAGAGAACCACAGAGAGACAGAGAGAGACAGAGAGAACCAGAGAGAGACAGAGAGAGAAAGAGAGAGACAGAGAGAACCAGAGAAAGACAGAGAGAGACAGAGAACCAGAGAGAGACAGAGAGAACCAGAGAGAGACAGAGAACCAGAGAGAGACAGAGAGAGACAGAGAGAACCAGAGAGAGACAGAGAGAACCACAGAGAGACAGGGAAAGACAGAGAGAACGAGAGAGAGACAGAGAGAACCAGAGAGACAGAGAGACCAGAGAGAGACAGAGTGAACCAGAGAGAGACAGAGAGAACCAGAGAGAGACAGAGAGAGACAGAGAGAACCACAGAGAGACAGGGAAAGACAGAGAGAACCAGAGAGAGACAGAGAGAGAAAGAGAGAACCAGAGAGAGACCGAGATAACCAGAGAGAGACAGAGGACCAAGAGAGAGGACCAGAGAGAGACAGAGAGAGACAGAGACGAAGAAACCAAAGAAGACAGAGAGAACCAGAGAGAGACAGAGGAACCAAGAAGAGAGAACCAGAGCGAACCAGAGAGAGACCAGAGAGAAACAGAGACGAGACAGAGAGAACCAGAACCAGAGAGAGACAGAGAGAACCAAAGAGAAGGAAACAGGAGAAGAAGAGAGACGAACCAGAGAGAGAGACAGAGAGAACCAGAGAGAGACAGAGAGAACCAGAGAGAGACAGAGAGAACCAGAGAGAGACAGAGAGAACCAGAGAGAGACAGAGAGAACCAGAGAGAGACAGAGAGAACCAGAGAGGACAGAGAGAACAGAGGGAAAAGACAGAGAGAGACAGAGAGAACAGAGAGCGGACAGAGGAGCAGAACCAGAGAGAGACAGAGAACCAGAGAGAGAACAGAGAGAGACAGAGAGAACCAGGAGACAGAGACCAGAGAGAGAACCAGAGAGACAGAGAGACAGAAGAGAGAGACCAGAGAGAGACGAGAGAACCAGAGAGAGACAGAGAGAACCAGAGAGAGACAGAGAGACAGAAGAGAGAACACAGAGAGAGACAGAGAGAGAACCAGAGACAGAGAGAACAGAGGAGAACCAGAGAGAGACAAGAGAACAGAGAACGAGAAGAAAGAAACCAGAGAGAGACAGTGAAAGACAGAGAGAGACAGAGAGAGACAGAGCGAACCAGAGAGAGACAGAGAACCAGAGAGAGACAGAGAGAGACAGAGAACCAGAGAGAGACAGAGAGAACCAGAGAGAGACAGAGAGAACCAGAGAGAGACAGAGAGAACCAGAGAGAGACAGGGAAAGAACAGAGAGAACAGAGAGAGACAGAGACAGAAGAACCAGAGAGACAGAGAGACCAGAGAGAGGACAGAGTGAACCAAGAGACAGAGAGCAGAGAGAGAGAACCAGAGAGAGACAAGAGACGAGAGGAAGAGAAAGAGGAGAACCACAGAGAGACAGGGAAAGACAGAGAGAACCAGAGAGAGACAGAGAGAGAAAGAGAGAACCAGAGAGAGACCGAGATAACCAGAGAGAGACATAGAGACCAGAGAGAGACCAGAGAGAGACAGAGAGAGACAGAGAGAACCAAAGAGAGACAGAGAGAACCAGAGAGAGACAGAGCGAACAAGAGAGAGACAGAGCGAACCAGAGAGAGACAGAGAGAACTAGAGAGAGACAGAGAGAACCAGAGAGAGACAGAGAGAACCAGAGAGAGACAGAGAGAACCAGAGAGAGACAGAGAGAACCAGAGAGAGACAGAGAGAACCAGAGAGAGACAGAGAGAACCAGAGAGAGACAAGGAAACCAGAGAGACAGAGAGAACCAGAGAGAGACAGAGAGAACCAGAGAGACGAGAAACAGAGAGAACCAGAGAGAACAGAGAGAACAGAGAGAACCAGAGAGAGACAGAGAGAACCAGAGAGAGACAGAGAACCAGAGAGAGACAGAGAGAACCAGAGAGAGACAGAGTGAACCAGAGAGAGACAGAAAGAGGCAGAGAGAACCAGAGAGAACCAGAGAGAGACAGTGAGAGACAGAGCGAACCAGAGAGAGACAGAGAGAACCAGAGAGAACCAGAGAGAGACAGAGAGAGACAGAGAGAGAGAGAGAATCAGAGAGAGACAGAGAGAGAGAGAGAACCAGAAAGAGACAGAGAGAACCATAAAGAGAAAGAGAGAGACAGAGAGATGTCGAGCTCTCACTCTGTCTCTCTCTCGCTCTCTCAATTTCAATTTAAGGGCTTTATTGGCATGGGAAACATATGTGTACATTGCCAAAGCAAATGAAGTAGATAATAAACAAAAGTGAAATAAACAATACATATTAACAGTAAACATCATACTCAGAAGTTCCAAAAGAATAAAGACATTTCAAATGTCATATGATGTATATATACAGTGTTGTAACAATGTGCAAATAGTTACATTACAAATGGAAAATAAATAAACATAAATATGGGTTGTGTTTATAATGGTGTTTGTTCTTCACTGGTTACCCTTTTCTTGTGGCAACAGGTCACAAATCTTGCAGCTGTGATGCCACACTGTGGTATTTCACCCAATAGATATGGGAGTTTATCAAAAATGGGTTTGTTTTCTAATTATTTGTGGATCTGTGTCATTTGAGGGAAATATGTGTCTCTAATATGGTCATACATTTGGCAGGAGGTTAGGAAGTGCAGCTCAGTTTCCACCTCATTTTGTGGGCAGTGTGCACATAGCCTGTCTTCTCTTGAGAGCCAGGTCTGCCTACGGCGGCCTCTCTCAATAGCAAGGCTATGCTCACTGAGTCTGTACATAGTCAAAGCTTTCCTTAAGTTTGGGTCAGTCACAGTGATCAGGTATTCTGCCACTGTGTACTCTCTGGTTAGGGCCAAATAGCATTCGAGTTTGCTCTGTTTTTTTTGTTAATTCTTTCCAATGTGTCAAGTAATTCTCTTTTTGTTTTCTCATGATTTGGTTGGATCTAATTGTGTTGTTGTGCTGGGGCTCTGTGTGGTCTGTTTGTGTTTGTGAACAGAGCCCCAGGACCAGCTTGCTTAGGGGAATATTCTCCAAGTTCATCTCTCTGTAGGTGATGGCTTTGTTATGGAAGATTTGAAAATCGCTTCCTTTTAAGTGCTTATAGAATTGAACGTCTCTTTTCTAGATTTTGATAATTAGAGCGTATCAGTCTAATTCTGTTCTGCATGAATTATTTTGTGTTTTTCGTTGTACACAGAGGAGATTATTTTTCAGAATTCTGCATGAATAGTCTCAATTTGGTGTTTGTCCCATTTTGTGAATTATTGGATGGAATTCTTGGTCTCTCTCTCTCTCTCTCTCTCTCTCTCTCTCTCTCTCTCTCTCTCTCTTCTCTCTCTCTCTCTCTCTCCTCTCTCTCTCTCTCTCTCTCTCTCTCTCTCTCTCTCTCTCTCTCTCTCTCTCTCCTCTCTCTCTCTCTCTCTCCTTCTCTCAATTAAATTCAATTAAGTTCAAAGGGCTTCATTGGAATCTCTCTCTCTCTCTCACTCTGCATCAGATCTGCCTTCTTGCTCTAAGGGCCTGGGTTGATAAAACAGACATCTGTAAGAGAGACGAATGGGCACCCATCAGCTAGCTATCACCGACTGGCCAGACCTCCTCAAGGTTAACCAGAAAATAAAGTCTGTGTTTCTGCAGACTAACAGCGAGCTGTCCAACACCTGAGCTCCTGGTGCTATAAAAGCATGCAGACTTGAGGAGACTAGTCAGGAAGGGTCTTCCGCCCCCCCCGAGAGAGCAGAGGAAGTCTTATGTTTCCACACCCGGCAGAAGCTGTCTGTCTGAGACCGCTGGCCTGGTGAGCCCATGTGTGCGAAGGTTCTAAAGAGGGGCGTGTTCTGGAACACTCACCGTCTCTCCTCTCTGACCAGGGTGGCCGGGCAGCCCGTCCTTTCCAGGTGGTCCCTGGGAACCACACAGAGAACATAGACTCTATCAATGACTAATACGTGAAAGAGGGGAAAACCTACTCCACATCTAATGGTGGGTTCTCGTAGTATTTGTGGTGTGTTGACCAAAAGTAAATCAGTTTTCTTGTTCTATGACAAATACATGGAAAATATATCAAAGTATAACTATTTTTAAACTTTACTAAAAACTGTCCGTCCTCCACAGTAACGCCTTGTTCTGTTTTCGAGCAAAGCGGAAACAGGACTGACTATCGGCAAAGGTTAAGTCGAAACTATGAATCAAGCACAAATCAATAGGAGGAAAAGAACACTTCTGGCCAGAAGAAGATGAGAAACAGGGTTCTGCTTCAATAACAGTAATGATTACCACACCCAATCAGGGACACAGTCAAATACATAGCCCACCCTACATAGCTGCATTGCTTTCCTTTAACCTAGAAATGACACCAGTGAGAGGATACTTACAGGGGGGCCTTTTGGTCCTGAGAACCCGACGGGGCCCTGGGGTCCTTGAGGTCCCTGGAATAAACAGAGAGGCAATCAGAGAATGGAAGCAGTCTTAGCAATGAGATGCTCCCAATAGTAACGTGGCAGACAATCCGCCCGGACAACCAGAAGTTCTGCCAGCCTCAGAGATTATGCTGCTGCCTGATCTGATGTGGCTGGGTCTGGCCGGACATGATTGGGTGGGTGTTGTCGTTGTGGTCTGATGTGGTGTGGTAGGGTGTGGTGTGGTAAGGTGTAGTGTAGTGTGGTAGGATGTGGTGTGGTAGGGTGTGGTATGGTAGAGTGTGGTGTGGTAGGGTGTGGTAGGGAGTAGTGTAGTGTGGTAGGATATGCTGTGGTAGGTTGTGGTGTGATGTTTTAGGGTGTGGTATGGTAGGGTGTAGTGTGGTAGGGTGTGGTGTGGTTGGGTGTAGGGTGTGGTTTGGTAGTTTGGGTGTGGTGTGGTATGTTGTTGGTAGGGTTGGTGTGTATGGTTGTGGTTGTGGTGTGTGTAGGGTGTGGTTTTGTGGTTGGGTTTGTGTATAGTGTTGTGTGGTGTTGTGTTTTAGGTGTGGTGTGTGTTGGTAGGGTTTGGTGTGTATGTGGTGTTGGTGTGGTGTGGTATTTAGGGGTTGTTAGGTGGGTTGGTGTTGGGTGTTTGGTATGTGTGGTGGCTGGGTGTGTGTCGGGTTTTTGTGGGTGTCCTGTGTAGGTGTCGGGTGTTGTATCGTGTTTGGTTCGGTTTGTGGTCGGGTATGTGTTGGTATGTGTGGTTTGGTGTGTTCTTTGGGGGTGTTTGTTCTCCTGGGTTTCGTTGGGTGTGGTAGTGTGTGGTAGCATGTGGTAGGGTATGGTAGGGTGTGGTGTGGTGTGTTAGAGTGTGGTTTGGTAGGGTGTGGGTGTGATAGGGTGTGGCTGGGTATGGTAGGGTGTGGTGATTTAGGGTGTGTTGTTGTAGGCTGTGGTGTGGTAGGGTTTGGGTGTGATAGGGTGTGGTATGGGTTGGTAGTGTGTGGTGTGGTGTGGTAGGGTGTTTTAGGGTTTGTTGTGGTAGGGTTTGGTAGGGTGTGGTGTTTTAGGGTGTTGTGTGGTAGTGTGCGATGCGTTAGGGTGTGGTTGAGTGTGATGTCGTAGGTTGTGGTAGGGTTTGTTTTGGTGTGGCTGGGTGTGGTAGGGTGTGTTGTGGCTGGGTGTGGTAGGCTGTGTTTTGACCGGGTGTGGTAGGGGTGTTGTGGGGAGTGTGGTGTGGTAGGGTGTGGGTGTGATAAGGTGTGGTATGGGTTGGTAGTGTGTGGTGTGGTGTGGTAGGGTGAGGTGTGGTAGGGTTGTGGAGGTAGGTTTGTTGGTGGGTGTGGTGGGTTGAGGTGTGGTGTGGTGGTGGTAGGGTGTGATGGTTGTAGTGTGTTGGTGTGGTCGGGTTGGGTGTGAGGTTTGGTGTGGTATGGTGTGGTAGGGTGTGGTGTAGTAGGTTGTGGTGTGGTATGGTAGGGTGTGGTGTAGTTGGGTGTGTGGCATGGGTGGTAGGATGTGGTGTTGTAGGGTGTGGTGTGTGGGTGTGTAGTTGGTTGGTCTGTGGGAGAGAGAGGAGAGATGAGGAGAGAGAGATCGAGAGAGAGACGAGACGAGAGAGAGAGGATGAGACGAGAGAGAGAGAGAGGAGGATAGAGAGAGAGAGAGAGAGAGGGGAAGAGGAGAGAGAGAGAGAGAGAGAGAGAGAGAGAGAGAGAGAGAGAGAGAGAGAGAGAGAGGGAGGGGCCCAGTACCCAGATTAGCTCTTGCCTCCAACAGCGAACAACCATCAGTGACATCATTAATGTATAATAGCTTCCTCGCTTCCAGTGGTGAACACCATGAGTCCAGGTCAGACCTATCACTCTTTATTCCAACCCTACCACGATGTCAGACAGGCAGTTAGAACTACCCTGGGGGAATCAGAGGTGTAACTGCCTGAACTGCTTCGTATTCCAAGCCATTTCATATTTCATTATTGAGGGGTCAGCCCCATACCCCGGACCATAACCCGTCCCCCCTCGGAAGCAGTGCCTTATGGGACTTACTCTCTCGCCAGGCGGGCCAGGTGGACCATCGTTGCCCGCTGTGCCCTGCGAAACACAACAGACAGGAAATCAGCATCAGATATTCTACTGCTACCCGAGTTGACGCCGTAATGATGACACATCTGTTACACAGATATTACCAGTTATATACTGTAGGTATTACCAGTCACGTGGGTATTTCCAACGCTATTACCATATTATCATTAAGGTATGTGGTCTATCTAGGAGTTTGTCAAGTTGAGAGGGTAGTTACCTTAGGGCCTGGCTTGCCTGTTGAACCTCTAGCACCTCGACCTCCTCGTGTACCCTGTGAGACGGGAGAGGACAGAGTTCAGAATACACACTGATATACCATCAGGTAAGACTTCATACAATAACCGAATGTGAATGAATGTGACAAGAATACAAAAAAAATTACAAATTAGTTATTTCATTCATTCTCAGTACTGTGAGGTGGGAGGACATACCGTTGGACCTCTTTGTCCCCTTGGACCGGTTTTGCCCACCACGCCCTTTGGAAAGTACAGACAAGTTTAGACATTTTTAATTTAGACAAAAACCTCAAGATCAATCCAGCCTAAACTTCCCTCAGTCAGTTGTTCCCAGGTCTGTGCTAAAACACTCTAGGTGAGTATGACATTCTTTCTTTTCATGATCGGAAAGGGAAAGAGAATCTTTTGAGAGCAAACAACAGTTTCTTGTTTTTCTGTTTTACATTGATTCTTGGAGGTTGTATTTTGTGCAAACTCTACGTTCAAATGCTTTTGTAACAGGAATCAATGTCCTTTGGGTGGTGTTATGATACAGTGTGTGTGAGTGCCATAACAGAAACAGAAACAGGGAAGGGACTATTTATTTACCCTGGCTCCTTTCTCTCCGTTGGCCCCTGGGAAGCCTGGGAAGCCGCTGGAACCCTGCCGATCAACAAGGTGGATTCCAGAGAGGAGGACGGAGAGAGAGAAAAGAAGAGGGTCAGTAATCAAGATGAGGAATTATTTGAGAGGGTTTTGCTTTTCAGTTGTTGTTGTTGTTGACTGTCAACCTCTGTTAGAATGCAGGAGACAGAGAGCTCCATCATATAATGGGTCTGTACCCAGCCTGCACTGTGCCGTGGGAAAACAGACAAACACAGAGAACAGAACGCTCCTCAGCTGAACGATCACAAGCTCATGACATCACCATCAGAATAATAAGATACGAATGTGATACAAAAGAAAGTTAATATGGTATGGCAATGTAACGCATGCACACACGCACACATGCACACACGCACACACCCTTTGTTTGTGAAGACTTCAAAAATCATGATGTCTTTGTAAACATTCTTTGAGATAACATATCACACGTCAGCTCAGAGAAAACGAGAACATGGAACAGCCGCCAGACAACAATAAAAGAAAACCATTGATTTGGGTAAACATGTAAACAGACACAAACAGTTCTATGAAGACAGTCTGGTTTCTAATTATGGCTGTTTGTTGTGTAGGCGAGATTCAAAACCAGCTTACCCGTCTACTTCAGTCCTGGTGTTCACGAAAGCATTCAAACATGAAATCAATACAGCGTTTTACTTCCCCATATTTTCTAGGCCTGAATTCACAAAGTCATGAGGCGAGCTGAAGCTCAACATACTGAGCTGGAAATAGATGGGACCAAACACTGAGCGCTTGATGGACAAACCTCTCACTATAAAACTGCCATAACTCTAAACCCAGAGGCTGTGCTTTCACGCAACCATGGCAACGCTTCAACAGTTCACTTTATAAAAATCCAGCTTCTGATAGCTCTCAGGCGTAAATTAGCCCTACAGAGTATCTATTAGACACCACCTCACGGAATGCCACACAATCTCCCAGCATAATGATTGTAGTCTTTTAATCCGTATTAACAGTGGGATTGCTGAACAGCATATTGTTGGATGTGATGTGTGAGGAAAGGATGAAGTACTAGGACATGTACTTCCTGTTAGGGGACGTGATGCTGATGACCAAATCTATATGTCTGTGTTTGACTGTACGTCACTGTAATCCTCAGGGTTACAAGAGGGAGTTTTGTGCACCATCTATGTCTCTGTGGACACAAGATGCCTTCTTGGTTTCTGGGTGTAAGAAGAATTCTGAGTGAAACTGACAGGCACTATCAACAATACCTCCATATTAGATCATTGGTATCTATTGAAAACAACCCTAATGAAAAATCCCTGAACGTTCTTCAAGGAACAATCATGTCTGTCTGACATCAGGAAATTCCTTCCTACACTCTTAGAAAAAAAAAAGGTGCTATCTAGAACCTAAAAGGGTTCTTCGGCTGTCCCCATTGGAGAACCCTTTGAAGAATCATTTTTGGTTCCAAGTAGAACCCCTTTGGTTCCAGGTAGAACCCCTTTTGAGTTCCATGTAGAACCCTTTACACAGAGGGTTCTACATGGAACCCAAAATAGTTGTACCTGGAAACCAGAAGGGGTTCTGGAGTGTAGGCGTTTGGTGTGATAACTGAGATTAACTGGGTATTGTGGGAGGTTTTTCATTAAAGTTTTCCCAGAAATCCTCATAGGCATCACAGAGTGGGTTTGTTTACATACCTTTGGTCCTTGTCTTCCTGGGTAGCCGGGTAACCCTGGAACACCCAGTTTTCCCTGAAGACAACAAAAAAGTCAACGTACACTAATACTTGAATGAGCACAATGTATTGGTAGACAGTCGTACATGAAGTTCGACTGACCGAAAGCTTAGAAATGTGCATCTGACTGGAAGTGTGCAGAGAATTCTTCCTGTTTCAAACAGCTGTACTGTAAAATGAAATTAAAGTATTTCCACAGGCTTGAGGGAATATGCTGCTAACAGATTCACCTTAACAGGACAAAGAGAGGGTGAGAATAAAGCCTTTACCTTCTCTCCAGCACCACCCACAGGGCCAGACTCTCCGTTGGGGCCTGCTCTGCCCTTGGGTCCCTCAGGTCCGTCCTCACCACGGGGCCCAAGCACACCAAGCTCACCCTGAGCACATCCAACACACACCAGATAAGGTATCGGACCATTACTGTGGCCTATGGATTAAAGTGTACCATACACATGAGAATGATGGGTGAGTCGGTGTCATTGAGTTGTCAACTCACCCTGTCACCTTTGAGACCCATGTCTCCCTTGAAACCAGGGAAACCGTCCTCACCCTGAAATCAGGAAAATCAATAAAAAGGTTACTTGGTTTGTTGCTTTGTAGGAAATGTAATGGATCTCAAGAGGTTGAATGGATCTCAGCGATTGAATGGATCTCAGAGATTGAATAGATCTCAGAGATTGAATGGATCTCAAAGATTGAATGGATCTCAAAGATTGAATAGATCTCAGAGATTGAATGGGTATCAGAGATTGAATGGCTCTCAGAGATTGAATGAATCTTAAGTAAATGTACTTGTGTGTAAGTGATCATTAGAATTCAGTATGCTTTGAGCTTGTTACATAATTGTAACATAATTGCTGTGGAAGAGTATCTTTGGATACATATTTATTTTTAAAAGGTAATTTTGTTTTAATCTAATAGTAAAGCTAGATGCACATGAATCTGGGCTGTAGCTTTCCATTATGAAACAGGAAACCTCATATTATACATCTGTCTGGAGTGAAGACTACTGCCATCTGGTGGCCAACGAGGGGAATCACACTGCATGTGCAAACGAGCAGCTGCCGTGTGCTCCATCAGTATTCTGCTGCTATAGGGACGTGTGCTCCATCAGTATTCTGCTGCTATAGGGACGTGTGCTCCGTCAGTATTCTGCTGCTATAGGGACGTGTGCTCCATCAGTATTCTGCTGCTATAGGGACGTGTGCTCCGTCAGTATTCTGCTGCTATAGGGACGTGTGCTCCATCAGTATTCTGCTGCTATAGGGACGTGTGCTCCATCAGTATTCTGCTGCTATAGGGACGTGTGCTCCATCAGTATTCTGCTGCTATAGGGACGTGTGCTCCGTCAGTATTCTGCTGCTATAGGGACGTGTGCTCCATCAGTATTCTGCTGCTATAGGGACGTGTGCTCCATCAGTATTCTGCTGCTATAGGGACGTGTGCTCCATCAGTATACTGCTGCTATAGGGACGTGTGCTCCATCAGTATTCTGCTGCTATAGGGACGTGTGCTCCATCAGTATTCTGCTGCTATAGGGACATGTGATCCGTCAGTATTCTGCTGCTATAGGGACGTGTGCTCCATCAGTATTCTGCTGCTATAGGGACGTGTGCTCCATCAGTATTCTGCTGCTATAGGGACGTGTGCTCCATCAGTATTCTGCTGCTATAGGGACGTGTGCTCCATCAGTATTCTGCTGCTATAGGGACGTGTGCTCCATCAGTATTCTGCTGCTATAGGGACGTGTGCTCCATCAGTATTCTGCTGCTATAGGGACATGTGCTCCATCAGTATTCTGCTGCTATAGGGACGTGTGCTCCATCAGTATTCTGCTGCTATAGGGATGTGTGCTCCATCAGTATTCTGCTGCTATAGGGACGTGTGTTCCATCATTATTCTGCTGCTACAGGGACGTGTGCTCCATCAGTATTCTGCTGCTATAGGGACGTGTGCTCCATCAGTATTCTGCTGCTATAGGGACGTGTGCTCCATCAGTATTCTGCTGCTATAGGGACGTGTGCTCCATCAGTATTCTGCTGCTATAGGGACGTGTGCTCCATCAGTATTCTGCTGCTATAGGGACGTGTGCTCCATCAGTATTCTGCTGCTATAGGGACGTGTGCTCCATCAGTATTCTGCTGCTATAGGGACGTGTGCTCCATCAGTATTCTGCTGCTATAGGGACGTGTGCTCCATCAGTATTCTGCTGCTATAGGGACATGTGCTCCGTCAGTATTCTGCTGCTATAGGGACGTGTGCTCCATCAGTATTCTGCTGCTATAGGGACGTGTGCTCCATCAGTATTCTGCTGCTATAGGGATGTGTGCTCCATCAGTATTCTGCTGCTATAGGGACGTGTGCTCCATCAGTATTCTGCTGCTATAGGGACGTGTGCTCCATCAGTATTCTGCTGCTATAGGGACGTGTGCTCCATCAGTATTCTGCTGCTATAGGGACGTGTGCTCCATCAGTATTCTGCTGCTACAGGGACGTGTGCTCCATCAGTATTCTGCTGCTATAGGGACGTGTGCTCCATCAGTATTCTGCTGCTATAGGGACGTGTGCTCCATCTGTATTCTGCTGCTATAGGGACGTGTGCTCCATCAGTATTCTGCTGCTATAGGGATGTGTGCTCCATCAGTATTCTGCTGCTATAGGGACGTGTGTTCCATCATTATTCTGCTGCTATAGGGACGTGTGCTCCATCAGTATTCTGCTGCTATAGGGACGTGTGCCCAATCAGTATTCTGCTGCTATAGGGACGTGTGCTCCATCAGTATTCTGCTGCTATAGGGACGTGTGCTCCATCAGTATTCTGCTGCTACAGGGACGTGTGCTCCATCAGTATTCTGCTGCTATAGGGACGTGTGCTCCATCAGTATTCTGCTGCTATAGGGACGTGTGCTCCATCAGTATTCTGCTGCTATAGGGACGTGTGCTCCATCAGTATTCTGCTGCTATAGGGACGTGTGCTCCATCAGTATTCTGCTGCTATAGGGACATGTGCTCCGTCAGTATTCTGCTGCTATAGGGACGTGTGCTCCATCAGTATTCTGCTGCTATAGGGACGTGTGCTCCATCAGTATTCTGCTGCTATAGGGATGTGTGCTCCATCAGTATTCTGCTGCTATAGGGACGTGTGCTCCATCAGTATTCTGCTGCTATAGGGACGTGTGCTCCATCAGTATTCTGCTGCTATAGGGACGTGTGCTCCATCAGTATTCTGCTGCTATAGGGACGTGTGCTCCATCAGTATTCTGCTGCTACAGGGACGTGTGCTCCATCAGTATTCTGCTGCTATAGGGACGTGTGCTCCATCAGTATTCTGCTGCTATAGGGACGTGTGCTCCATCTGTATTCTGCTGCTATAGGGACGTGTGCTCCATCAGTATTCTGCTGCTATAGGGATGTGTGCTCCATCAGTATTCTGCTGCTATAGGGACGTGTGTTCCATCATTATTCTGCTGCTATAGGGACGTGTGCTCCATCAGTATTCTGCTGCTATAGGGACGTGTGCTCCATCAGTATTCTGCTGCTATAGGGACGTGTGCTCCATCAGTATTCTGCTGCTATAGGGACGTGTGCTCCATCAGTATTCTGCTGCTACAGGGACGTGTGCTCCATCAGTATTCTGCTGCTATAGGGACGTGTGCTCCATCAGTATTCTGCTGCTATAGGGACGTGTGCTCCATCAGTATTCTGCTGCTATAGGGACGTGTGCTCCATCAGTATTCTGCTGCTATAGGGACGTGTGCTCCATCAGTATTCTGCTGCTATAGGGACGTGTGATTGAGCATTCGAAAACGTGGATGAGTTAAAAAGAGAATAAGGAAACCTCTCTCTGTCCCTTTCACCCCTGTTCTCTCCATCTATCTGTCTCTAACTCTCTCCTTTATTTAACTCTGTTCTCTGTCCCTTACACCCGTGTTCTCTCCATCTATCTGTCTCTAACTCTCTCCTTTATTTAACTCTGTTCTCTGTCCCTTTCACCCCTGTTCTCTCCATCCATCTGTCTCTAACTCTCTCCTTTATTTAACTCTGTTCTCTGTCTCTCACTGTCTCCTTTAGTTATCTCTGTTCTCTGTCTCTCACTGTCTCCTTTAGTTATCTCTGTTCTCTGTCTCTCACTATCTCCTTTAGTTATCTCTGTTCTCTGTCTCTCACTGTCTCCTTTAGTTATCTCTGTCTCTCACTGATTCCTTCATTTCTCTCTGTTCTGGTTCTCTGAGTCACTCTGTGCAGTCTGTCACCTGTCTGTGTCTCTTCTCCTCCTAATACATAATGCAGGTGTGTGTGTGTGTGTGTGTGTGTGTGTGTGTGCACCCAAAGCAATGAAACCATGTTTTACGTTTCACAACAAGCCCTCACCGCTGGGATGGTGTTGCATTCATTTTCTATTCAGAACCAACGCTACCTTCCTTCCTCAAGGTTTTGGGATTACATTAAAACCTCAACATAAGTTAACATAAAACCTAACTTCAGTGATAACTCTAATATCCATGGTGTTACTGTTTACAACTTTAATAGTGGATCAGCATCATGCTCTTGGTTTTCAACTATATTAATGGATTCATACAAAGAGGCTGTTAGGGTTAGTGGGGACATTTTGGACCGCAGAAAGACTTTTAGACAGGACTTTTTGAGAGAACGTTGTGTTCATCTCATTGGTCAGATAGGACAATGCTAGTAATCGTAACATTCTTACACACAATTGCAGCAGGAATACGAAGCGTCACATTTTGAAAAGAGGAAGCTCTTTACCTTCTCTCCATTTCCACCCTTCAGTCCACGAACACCATCAGCACCCTAATAGACGGACAGGAAACAGACCACAGTTACCAACCTAACACAACTTCCCACCTTGAAGGATGTTACTGAATATCACCTGGGTGAGCTCCAACACCATACCTTGACGCCACGAGGACCGGGATAACCAATAGGACCTTGGGGACCTGCCTGGCCCTGGAGGCGGAGGAGGCAGAGACAGAGAGAGAGAGAGAACAATGTCTCCATTAGTCTCTCAATAAGAGATATGTCATAAACCATTCAAATTATTCTGCTTTTGTATCATATTCCAAATAATAATATATCAATCAATCAGCCAATTGACTGACCAATCAATAATCAATCAATCAATTGTACTTACTAAGGCTCCCTTCTCACCAGTTGGGCCTTCTTTACCAGGATGGCCCTGTAAGAAAATAACTTATGTACATCAGAAAGTTCTAGCTTGATTCTATGGAGAAAAAAATTTGTACATTAGACCGTACTGATGGAGGCTTTAACAGTCCGAGCTCCAGGTTCACTCTGACCGACTGGTTGGTTTATATAGAGAGAGACCTTTCACTTGCACACCTGCTATTTCATTAAATGTGTGAGGAGACTGTCAGAGGGCAGAAAGGTGTAAATGAGGAGGCTTCGGGCTGCCTCTCTCTCACCCTGACACTCACACTGTAGGCTATCCAATATCCAATGTTTGGAAGGGAGAGCTGTTGGATGGTGGTTTGTGGTGGAAGGGAGATATGTTGGATGGTGGTTTGTAGTGAAAGGGAGCGATGTTGGTTGGTGGTTTGTAGTGGAAGGGAGAGATGTTGGATGGTGGTTTGTGGTGGAAGGGAGAGATGTTGGATGGTGGTTTGTAGTGGAAGGGAGAGATGTTGGATGGTGGTTTGTAGTGGATGGTGGTTTTGTAGTGAGGGAATGTTGGATGGTGGTTTGTAGTGGAAGGGAGAGATGTTGGATGGTGGTTTGTAGTGGAAGGGAGAGATGTTGGATGGTGGTTTGTAGTGGAAGGGAGAGATGTTGGATGGTGGTTTGTAGTGGAAGGGAGAGCTGTTGGATGGTGGTTTGTAGTGGAAGGGAGAGATGTTGGATGGTGGTTTGTAGTGGAAGGGAGAGATGTTGGATGGTGGTTTGTAGTGGAAGGGAGAGATGGTGGATGGTGGTTTGTAGTGGAAGGGAGAGATGGTTGGATGGTGGTTTGTGGTGGAAGGGAGAGATGTTGGATGGTGGTTTGTAGTGGAAGGGAGCGATGTTGGATGGTGGTTTGTAGTAGAAGGGAGAGATGTTGGATGGTGGTTTGCAGTGGAAGGGAGCGATGTTGGATGCTGCGCGCAACATTTCACTAACTGTGCTGTAGTTGCTAGTTTAGTGTAACAGCACGACGCGAGACAGGGCTTCTCAACCAATCTAGTTTCTTAGTTTGGTAGCCAACTAATTAGCGTTCATAGATCTCCCTTTAATTACAAAGGCCCTGAGCAAGCTGCTCTGGTAAACAACAGCGAGAGGAATGTATTTTCTCCTACTGCATATGGACATGCAGTGGTCGTCGTGGGTTGCTATGTTGTTAGGGAATGGATGAGCTGAGCGGATGTGAGACTGAAAGGGTGTAAAAAGAACAGCACAAACAGGAGACTCTAGCTAATCAGTTAGTTAACAGTTAGTTAACACCATTTGTGTGAGAGGAGGACAAGAGTGTGACAGAGTTAACAGAAGATCACGTACAGGAGGTCCATCTGATCCAGGTAAACCAGCCAACCCCGACCTGCCCTGAGGCCCCTGTACACAGAGACACATAGAAACACAGAATGGGTCAAAGGTCAAAATAACACTGTACTTTAACAACCTTCAGCACATGTATCTGCTGACCACAAGTCTGTTTCTGGGACTACTGAGATCACCTTGGAGAAAAACAATCTGAGAATAAGACATTTTTTTCTTTTCCAGAGAAGGTACTAGGTCCTCAGAGGAGATACTAGGTCCTCAGATGAGGTACTAGGTCCTCAGAGGAGATACTAGGTCCTCAGATGAGGTACTAGGTCCTCAGAGGAGATACTAGGTCCTCAGAGGAGATACTAGGTCCTCAGATGAGGTATGAGACCAGGTCCTCAGATGAGGTACTAGGTCCTCAGAGGAGATACTAGGTCCTCGGATGAGGTACTAGGTCCTCAGATGAGGTATGAGACCAGGTCCTCAGAGGAGATACTAGGTCCTCAGATGAAGTACTAGGTCCTCAGATGAGATACTAGGTCCTCAGATGAGGTACGAGACCAGGTCCTCAGATGAGCTACTAAGTCCTCAGAGGATGTACTAGGTCCTCAAACATACATTCACTACATATTATACAGTAAGGGGGGTTGACATAACATAAGCAAAACCCCTCCAGTACAGTACTATGGTAAACAAGTATATTCCAGTCTGTGTATTGTGTACTTTAATTGTACATCTAACAGATCACACATTTTACAGATTGTCTTTTGGGCCACTAACTTACAAACAAAACACTTTCAGGTCAGTTTTGTTGACAGGCAACAGAAGAGCTGAGCTCCAACTTACCTTTTCACCAGGTGGTCCGATGGGACCTTGAGGACCAGGAAGTCCCTGCAGGACAGAAGTAGACAGACAACTTCAGAGTTTGTTGCCATAGCTGTGACACACACACACACACACACACACACACGCACACACACACACACACACACGCACACATACACACACACGCATACACGCATACACACACACAAACACACACGCAGGCATACACACACATCCATACAAACACACATACATGCATACACACACACACACATGCACACACATACACACACACATACACACACACACACACACACACACACACACACGAATGCATACACACACATGCATACACACACACACACACACACACATGCATGCACACACATGCATACACTCACACACACGCATACACACACACACGAATGCATACACACACATGCATACACACACACACATGCATACACACACACACACACACACACACACGCATACATACACGCACACACACAAACAGACACACACACACACACACACACACACAAACACACACACAGACACACACAAACACACACACACAAACACACACACACACACAAACACACACACACACCGTCCATGCCGTTAGTCCATGCTGCTCTAACCTTGCTCGTCCATATGTATATATTCTTAATTAATTCCTTACTTATATTTGTGTGTATTGGGTATATGTTGTGAAATTGTTAGATATTACTACTTAGATATTACTGCACTGTCGGAGCTAGAAACACAAGCATTTTGCTACACCCGCAATAACATCTGCTAAGCACGTGTATGTGACCAATAAAATTTGATTTGATTTGATTTTACACATACACACACACAATTACAAAGCTAGCTGGGGACATCGAGGGGCATTGGGGACTCAGCGGAAGGTACTAACTCATGTGCAGGGGTAAGAATGTTGGGACTGTATTTGTTCTTGAGTGTGTGTGTGTGTGTATTTGTGTGTGTGTGTGTGTGTGTGTGTGTGGCAGAGAGAATAATCGGAGGCTGTGCTGGAGCTCGGGGAGCCTGCTGCAGGCATTCCACAGACATGAATGATATACTTTCACCGCTTCGCTCAACCCCCAGAAACCCCAGCAACATATTCCAAGAAAATATCTCTGTTTGTTCCTTCTATAGCTCCAGGGAGAAAGAGGGGGGAAGAGGAAGAGGAGGCGAGGAAGAGGAGGTGGAGGATAAAGAGGAGGAGGATGAGGAGGAGGAAGAGGAGGGGAAGGAGAGAGGAGGAGGAGGTGGAAGAGGCGGCGGGGAGGGGGAGCGGAGGAGGAGGCGGAGGGGGAGAAGGACAGCGGAGGAGGAGAGGGGAGGAAGGGAGGGAAGGGAGGGAGGTAGGAGGGGGAAGGGAGAGGAAGAGGAGGAGGGAGAGGAGGAGAGGGGGAGAAGAAGAGGAAAGAGACATAATTCAACTAATAAAAAAAAAGTGATGTAAATGATCATCAAAGAGCAGTATATTTCCAGAAGATGTTGACATAATAACTATAAAATGAGATTGAGACTATTATCTGTTTTCAGACATTACACACAAATAAAAACAAACTGTTTGTGTGTGCTGAATATTAATAGCAACTTCAACCCTTTGCCGCATTATCAACAGTATACTTTTCCAAGCTAGTTTGATTCTTATTTGTACATGTAAGCTAAGTCTTTATTGTAAACATACAGTGCATTCGGAAAGTATTTAGACCCCTTGACTTTTTCCACATTTTGTTACGTTACAGCCTTATTCTAAAATGGATGAAATTAGTTTTTGTACTCATCAATCTAAACACAATACCCCATAAGGACAAAGCGAAATAGGTTTTTAGAAATGTTTGCAAACGTATTAAAAATAAAAAACAGAAATACCTTATTTACATGAGTACTCTGACCCTTTGCTATGAAACTCGAGATAGAGCTCCGGTGCATCCTGTTTCCATTGATCATCCTTGAGATGTTTCTACAACTTGATTAGAGTCCACCTGTGGTAAATTCTATTGATTGGACATGATTTGGAAAGGCATACACCTGTCCATATAAGGTCCCACAGTTGACAGTGCATGTCAGAGCAAAAACCAAGCCATGAGGTGAAAGGAATTGTCCGTAGAGCTCCGAGACAGGATTGTGTCGAGGCACAGATCTGGGGAAGGTACCAAAACATTTCTGCATCATTGAAGGTCCCCAGGAACACAGTGGCCTCCATTATTCTTAAATGGAAGAAGTTTGGAACCACCAAGACTCTTCCTAGAGCTGGCCGCCCGGCCAAACTGAGCAACCGGGAGAGAAGGGCCTTGGTCAGGGAGGTGACCAAGAACCCAATTGTCACTCTGACAGAGCTCCAGAGTTCCTCTGTGGAGATGGGAGAACCTTCCAGAAGGACAACCATCTCTGCAGCACTCCACCAATCAGGCCTTTATGGTAGAGTGGCCAGACGGAAGCCACTCCTCAGCTCTCTTGGAGTTTGCCAAAAGGCACCTAAAGGACTCTCAGACCATGAGAAACATGATTCTCTGGTCTGATGAAACCAAGATTGAACTCTTTGGCCTGAATGCGAAGTGTCACGTCTGGAGGAAACCTGGCACCATCCCTACGGTGAAGCATGGTGGTGGCAGCATCATGCTGTGGGGATGTTTTTCAGCAGAAGGGACTGGGAGACTTGTCAGGATCGAGGGAAAGAGGAACTGAGGAAAGTACAGAGAGATCCTTGGTGGAAAACCTGCTCATGAGCACTCAGGACCTCAGACTGGGGCGAAGGTTCATCTTCCAACAGAACAATGACCCTAAGCACACAGCCAAGACAATGCATGAGTGGCTTCGGGACAAGTCTCTGAATGTCCTTGAGTGGCCCAGCCAGAGCCCGGACATGAACCCGATGGAACATCTCTGGATAGACCTGAAAATAGCTGTGCAGCAGCACTCCCCATCCAACCTGACAGAGCTTGAGAGGATCTACAGAGAAGAATGGGAGAAACTGCCCAAATACAGGTGTGCCAAGCTTTTAGTGTAATACCCATGAAGACCGTAATCGCTGCCAAATGTGCTTCAACAAAGCACTGAGTAAAGGGTCTGAATACTTATATGTAAATGTGATATTTCAGTTTTTATTTTTCACTAAATTTGCAAACATTTCTACAAACCTGTTTTTGCTTTGTCATTATGGGGTATTGTGTGTAGATTGATGAGGATAGGTAAAATAAGAATAAGGCTGTCATTTAACAAAACGTGAAAACAAGTCAAGGGGTCTGAATACTTCCGAATGCACTGCATATATATACATATACATACATATATTTTTTAAATATTTTTTTACAATTGACTCTATTGCTGCAGGTACTTAAAGCTGATATTTGGGATTTGAGGGTGTTCTACGTTGACATGCTGAAGTCAGGTAAAACAAGCTGCCATTACCAGTCAATAGTTTGGACGCACCTACTCATTCATGGGTTTTCCTTTATTTTGTACTATTTTCTACATTGTAGAATAATAGTGAAGACATCAAAACTATGAAATAACACAAATGGAAAAAAAAGTGTTAAACAAATCAAAATGTATGTTATATTTGAGATTCTTCAAAGTAGCCACCCTTTGCCTTGATGACAGCTTTGCACACTCTTGGCATTCTCTCAACCAGCTTCATGATGTAGTCACCTGGAATGCATTTCAATTAACAGCTGTGCCTTGTTAAAAGTTAATTTTGGGAATTTCTTTCCTTCCTAATGAGTTTGAGCCAATCAGTTGTGTTGTGACAAGGTGGGAGGGGTATACAGAAAATAGCCCTATTTGGTAAAAGACCAAGTCCATATTATGGCAAGAACAGCTCAAATAAGCAAAGAGAAATGACAGTCCATCATTACTTTAAGGCATGAAGATCAGTCAATCTGGAAAATTTGCTGTTGCAAAAACCATCAAGCGCTATGATGAAACTGGCTCTCACGCGGACTGTCACAGGAAAGGAAGACCCAGAGTTACCTCTGCTGCAGAGGACACATTCATTAGAATAACTGCACCTCAGATTGCAGCCCAAATAAATGCTTCACAGAGTTCAAGTAACAGACACATCTCAACATCAACTGTTCAGAGGAGACTGTGTGAACCAGGCCTTCATGGTCAAATTGCTGCAAAGAAACCACTACTAAAGGACACCAATAAGAAGAAGAGACTTGCTTGGGCCAAGAAACACGAGCAATGGACATTAGACCAGTGGAAATCTGTCCTTTGGTATAATGAGTCGAAATTTGAGATTTTTGGTTCAAACCGCCGTGTCTCTGTGAGACACAGAGTAGGTGAACGGATGATCTCCGCATGTGTGGTTCCCACCGTGAAGCATGGAGGAGGAGGTGTGATGGTGTGGGGGTGCATTACTGGTGACACTGTCTGTGATATATTTAGATTTCAAGCACACTTAACCAGCATGGCTACCAAAGCCTTCTGCAGCGATACGCCATCCCATCTGGTTTGCGCTTAGTGGGACTAACATTTGTTTTTCAACAGGACAATGACCCAACACACCTCCAGGTTGTGTAAGTAATATTTGACCAAGAAGGACAGAGTTGGAGTGCTGCATCAGATGACCTGGCCTCAACAATCACCCGACCTCAACCCAATTCAGATGGTTTGGGATGAGTTGGACTGCAGAGTGAAGGAAAAGCAGCCAGCAACTGCTCAGCATATGTGGGAACACCTTCAAGACTGTTGGAAAAGCATTCCAGGTGAAGCTGGTTGAGAGAATGCCAAGAGTGTGCAAAGCCGTCATCAAGGCAAAGGGTGGCTACTTTGAAGAATCTCAAATAAAACGTATTTAAGATTTGTTTAACACTTTCTTGGTTACTACATGATTCCATATGTGTTATTTCATAGTTTTGATGTCTTCACTATTATTCTACAATGTAGAAATAGTACAAAAAAAGAACAAAAATTGAATGAGTAAGTGTGTCCAAACTTTTGACTGGTACTGTACATTATCAGGCAGTAATGATCGTGGACCTTCTGGTGTTTATAAAACCCCCGTATCTAGCTTGACATAGAAGATACTGCCTGTAGAGTGTGAAATACTGTGTACTGTCTGTGATACTGTATACTGTCTGTGATATTGTATACTGTCTGTGATACTGTATACTGTCTGTAATATTGTATACTGTCTGTAATATTGTATACTGTCTGTGAAATTGTATACTGTCTGTAATACTGTATACTGTCTGTAATACTGTGTACTGTCTGTAATACTGTATACTGTCTGTAATATTGTATACTGTCTGTAATACTGTATACTGTCTGTAATACTGTGTACTTTCTGTAATACTGTGTACTGTCTGTGATACTGTATACTGTCTGTGATATTGTATACTGTCTGTGATATTGTATACTGTCTGTGATACTGTATACTGTCTGTAATACTCACTTGTGTCCCTGGGATCCCCTGCTGACCCGGCGGTCCCGGCTCTCCTTGAGGTCCCTAAACAACGAGACAATCAATCTCACATGACAAGGAGCTAAGAGCAGAGCACAGCAGACCTCATCTACATTATCTCTGTCTGTTTCCTCAGAAGATGGACGCTTCCACAATTTAAGGAGATTTTTAATGTAAGCTACGTCTACTCTCAGTACATTTGGGACTACAGAAAATTAACAAAAACTTCTGGTTTATAGAACTGCAATGCTGCCGGGTTTTTCACGATCAACAGTTTCCCGTAGGTATCAAGAATGGTTCACCACCCAAAGGACATTCAGCCAACTTGACACAACTCCCTCCTAAACACTGATATAGGACCAGATTACCTTTCCCGTAGCCATCATTAACCATTAGAAGGGCAGCTTGAATAATTTCACCCTACTCTGAGGTGCTACAGGGAGAGGCCCCAGTGGGCGGCCATTTTGAAACACAGGGAGGGGTCACTGCCTGACTCAAAGATGGTGGATGAATAAGATAGTTTACTCAGGCTGTATACTATTGAAAAATATTTAAGCTCAAGGTACCTCAATAATATCTGTCATGCTCACGGTTCCTCCATAATATCTGGCAGGCTCACGGTTCCTCCATAATACAGTTGAAGTCGGAAGTTTACATACACCTTAGCCAAATACATTTAAACTCTGTTTTTCACAATTCCTGACATTTAATCCTAGTAAAAATTCCCTGGCTTAGGTCAGTTAGTATCACCACTTTATTTTAAGAATGTGAAATGTCAGAATAATAGTAGAGAGAATGATTTATTTCAGCTTTTATTTCTTTCATCACATTCCCAGTGGGTCAGAAGTTTACATACACTCAATTAGTATTTGGTAGCATTGCCTTTAAATTGTTTAATTTGGGTCAAATGTTTCAGGTAGCCTTCCACAAGCTTCCCACAATAAGTTGGATGAATTTCTGGCCCATTCCTCCTGACAGAACTGGTGTAACGGAGTCAGGTTTGTAGGCCTCCTTGCTCGCACACACTTTTCAGTTCTGCCCACATATGTTCAATAGGATTGAGGTCAGGTCTTTGTGATGGCCACTCCAATACCTTGACTTTGTTGTCCTTAAGCCATTTTGCCACAACTTTGGAAGTATGCTTGGGTTCATTGTCCACCATTTGGATGACCCATTTGCGACCAAGCTTTAACTTCCTGATGTCTTGAGATGTTGCTTCAATATATCCACATAATTTTCCTTCCTCATGATGCCATCTATTTTGTGAAGTGCACCAGTCCCGTCCTGCAGCAAAGCACCCCCACAGTATGATGCTGCCACCACCGTGCTTCACGGTTGGGATGGTGTTCTTCGGCTTGCAAGCGTCCCCCTTTTTCCTCCAAACATAACGATGGTCATTATGGCCAATTATGGACATTTCTTTAAAAAGTACGATCCTAGTCCCCATGTGCAGTTGCAAACGATAGTCTGGCTTTTTTTATGGCGGTTTTGGAGCAGTGGCTTCTTCCTTGCTAAATGGCCTTTCAGGTTATGTCGATATAGGACTAATTTTACTGTGGATATAGATACTTTTGTACCTGTTTCCTCCAGCATCTTCACAAGGTCCTTTGCTATTGTTCTGGGATTGATTTGCACTTTTCGCACCAAAGTACGTTAATCTCTAGGAGACAGAACGCGTCTCCTTCCTGAGCGGTATGAAGGCTGCGTGGTCCCATGGTGTTTATACTTGCGTACTATTGTTCGTACAGATGAACGTGGTACCTTCAGGCGTTTGGAAATTGTTCCCAAGGATGAACCAGACTTGTGGAGGTCTAAAAAAAAATTTTCTGAGGTCTTGCCCGATTTCTTTTGATTTTCCCATGATGTCAAGCGAAGAGGCACTGAGTTTGAAGGTAGGCCTTGAAATACATCCACAGGGACACCTCCAATTGACTCAAATGATGTCAGATTAGCCTATCAGAAGCGTTCTAAACCATGACAATCATTTTCTGGAATTTTCCAAGCTGTTTAAAGGCACTGTCAACTTAGTGTATGTACATTTCTGACCCACTTGAATTGTGATACAGTGAACTATAAATGAAATAATCTGTCTGTAAACAATTGTTGGAAAAAGTATTGCACAAAGTATGCACAAAGTAGATGTCCTAACTGACTTGCCAAAACTATAGTTTGTTAACAAGACATTTGTGGGGTGGTTGAAAAACGAGTTTTAATGACTCCAACCTATGTGTATGTAAACTTCCAACTTCAACTGTATCTGTCATGCTCACGGTTCCTCCATAATCTCTGTCATGCTAACGGTTTCCTCCATAATACCTGGCAGGCTCATGCGGGAAAGGGAACAGCTGGTTCTGGTCTACTTAGTGTCTACTCCCGCTCGCGGCCCCAAGTGGCCCCACCCCGATCAGAAAAAAATAGGGAGTGGGTTGTCTCGCTTTCTCTACATTCTCTGGCCTGACCTACAGCATGAATGATGTCACTCCTCCCAGTGCTTACAAGGGCACAGTTTGACATTGACCTCTACAGCTGTAAAGTTTAAAATTGAGCTAGAACCTATCCCAAACACTGATACCCTGTGGTAGACTACACTCCTCTCGAATATTGTCTTGGTAAAGCTTATACTAACACTATAAAACAGTTCTGGTGTCAAAGTGTGTGTTTTAGATACGTATCTGTGTAAGATAACGTTATGACAGTGTTCATACCATGTTTCCTTTGGGACCGTGAGGGCCGTCCACTCCAGCTACACCCTGTGGAAACACAAATAGTCAGATGAGTAAGAATGATTTATTGCTGTATTATACAGGAGATACCATAGTGATAAATAATCATCCACCTCACCCGACCCCCAGCCCCCTCGAAAATAAATAAAACCCTGAACCAGCACTTGAACTTGACCCCCCCCCCAACTCTCTATCTCTGACTCTACTGATTGAGGATAATAAATGTACTTTCTATGCCTATGCTATATGGTTGCACTAACTGTATGTCGCTCTGGATAAGAGCGTCTGCTAAATGACTAACATGTAAAATAACTCTGTCATAGGAAACTATGTGTCAAGTACTACGTACTGGCTGTCCAGTGGGCCCGGGTGGACCGCGTGGTCCAAGCAGACCTCTAGAACCCTGAACAGAGAGAGAGAGAGAGAGAGAGGAGAGAAGAGAGAGAGAGAGAGAGAGAGAGAGAGAGAAGAGATAGCATATAGATATATCAGAGCGCTCTACTATCTCTCTCATAGTCTCTCATCTATCTCTCGCTCCTACTCTCTGCCCTCTCTTTTCTCATGTTAAAACTTAACATGAAGAAGAAGAGTTGACAGGATCACAGAATACAATGATAGAGTAATCTGTAGAACAAAAGCCCAGTTAAGAAATGCTGCCTCCTAGTTGACTAACAAGAACATTACATTGGTCCTCTGTAGCTCAGCTGGTAGAGCATGGCGCTTGTAACGCCAAGGTAGTGGGTTCGATCCCCGGGACCACCCATACACAAAAAAATTATGCACGCATGACTGTAAGTCGCTTTGGATAAAATGCTAAATGGCATATTATTATTATAATTCACCCAAATTACAAAATGACATATTGGTTTCCTTACCCTGTCAGCAGTCTATGGACAAGGTATGACAGCAATTCATGCTTTGGTTTTATTTACTTGGCACTGTTTCCATGTTTTTCCCAATGCTAACATTTTAGCATTTGTGGCACAAATCCAATTCAAGTCATGGTACCAATATTAGCATTTTTCACGCATGTCCAAATCTTCCGAAAGTATTTCAAATTGATTGTGAAGCTCAACATAGTCACGTAAAGATGACTTGAACATGATGCACGAAAAATGCTAATATCGGTACCATGACTTGAATGAGATTTGTGCCACGAACGCTAAAATGTTAGCATTATCACTTGTCCAAAGACTGCTTACAGGGTAGGGAAACCAAAATGTAATTGTTGAATGTGGGTAAAACTAGCCATTTAAATAACTGATGCAGAAGTAGCCGTGCAGTCAACCAGGGGAGATAGTATGTCATAACAGGGTGGTTGAATACTTGTATTACTCCAATACTGTTGTGAAGTTATACTGTAGGGTCCTATTTATAAAACCCAACAGCTATTCAGTGGATGCTCTCTTACGCTCTCTCCAGCCAATCCCCTTGGCCCGATCTCTCCATCCTCGCCCTGCAAAGAGAAGAAAAACTGTCCGTTTAACAGCAGTAAAAATGGATGGATGAAAATGGAGGAGTTGAATGGGAGGATGAGTGAGGGAGGGGACGGGGGCGGTAGGATACTCACGCTTTGTGGCCGTCCTCTCCAGGGGCTCCAGGATGGTCCAAATGATCCTGTCCCTCCCCCCCCTGTTAGGGAGAGAAGGAGATAGGAGGGAGATATAGAGATAATGTAGAGAGAATAGAGAGAGAAGAGAGAGAATGAGGAGGGAGATACAGAGAGAGAAGAAAGAGAAGAGAGAGAGAGTCGGTATTCTGCCACTGTGTCTCTCTGTTTAAAAGGCCAAATAGGCTTCTAGTTTCCTCGTTTTTTTGTTAATTCTTTGCCAATGTATCAAGTATTTCTCTTTTTGTTTTCTCATGATTTGGTTGGGTCTAAATTGTGTTTGTTGCTCCGTCTCTCTCTCTCTCTTCGCTCTCTCTCTCTGCTTCTCTCTCTCTCTCGCAATCTATCCTCCCTCTCCATCCCCTCATCCAGCCCAAGCTCCTACTTCAGCCTGACGTGGCCTGGTGTGGCCTGGTGTGGCCTGTCTCTTTTAAGGGTCCTCAGAGCAGATGGCACAGAACAGGACTAGGACTGGAGTTTAATTTGTGTATTTTCATCATTGTATCATGATCATGATCTTCAACATGCTTCCTGGCTATGAGTCTGATGATAACTCTATGGAAGAGATCGTTATAAGAGGATCAATTTGGCCAAGCTAAGTCTGAACAAAAACAACGTCATTCATTTATTTTTAAATGACCTCTTCAAAGCCATTCAAATGAGTTTTGACAATCACATTAGTTTAGCATTTCATTTCACAATGAAAGACTTAGCTGATTGTATAATGTTGCACCCAAAGAAAATCAAGAGATGATTCAGTCCAACAAGCTTATGTGGCCAAAAATGTCAAAGACATTTTATAACTTCCAAAGATCCTGGTATTTCCAAAAGGTTCCCCCCTCTGTTTCTGAGCCTAATAGCTCTGTCGTTTCATTTTTAGTCAATTTGGTCTTATCAAACAGTGTTTCACCCATAAGCCTATAAACGTCCAAGGCCTGTTTCTCAGACCAACACTAGTCTATTGTTCAACAGGACGGATTATCCAGTATGGATCACCTGCTACACTAAATCTGCCTGTAATTCACTTCAGATCCTCTGGAATGAGTCAGACTATTAGACAGAAAAGACCAGTGTTTTGGGAACATATTGCAGGCCATATTAGGACCCATATTCTCTCTCTTTCACTATTTATTGGTGTGAGGCTAGGGGTTGAGGGTGAAGGGGACTTTAAATCAGACCCTCAATTTCTGTGAACCAGGAAGGGAACTGGAGGTCATGTTTTGTAGAGGGAGAGAATATGGAGTTCCTGATCATTTCATGTCTGCTTCACCGGTCATTTCCTTGAGACAGGATGGAGGCTCTCAACCATTCATTTCAGAATAGCCTATGGCCTTCTCATTTACGGAGCGGTAAACACGCAGGTGCTTGAGAAATGTGGTGACGTTACTGTACTCACCCTGTGTCCCTTGTCACCGGGCAGGCCGGGCAGGCCATCAAAGCCTCTGTCTCCCTGTAGAGAAACACAATGTGACAATGACCACCGAGTCCCCAGATTACACAGACATCATCCTAAATTCGTTTTACCAACACAGTAGTTGTGACCAACACAGAACAGTCACACGTAAATTACAGAGACATCATGAGGTTTTAATACTCTGAGTAAAGTGACTAGTGGACAGAGACATCATGAGGTTTTAATACTCTGAGTAAAGTGACTAGTGGACAGAGATATCATGTGGTTTTAATACTCTGAGTAAAGTGACTAGTGGAACAGAGAACCTCATGTGTTTTTAATAACTCTGAGTAAGTGGACATCATGTAACCTTAGACCTGACTCTCCAGGCCCTTCCTGGAGCGCCAATCTGGCTCCACCACGACCCTAGCGAGGGACAGAGAGAGAGAGTAGAGAGAGAGAGAGAGAGAGAGAGAGAATAGAGAGAGAAGCGAGAGCGCGGAACAGATGAGAAGATGAGAGCATAGAGAGAAGAGCGACGCGAGAGCGAGAGCGTAGAGCCGCCGCTTAGCGCGCGCTCGCGGCGCGCGCGCGCGCTGGCGCTCATGGCTCGCCGCGCGGCGCGCGCGCGAGTTTCGACTGCGCAAGCTCCGCGCGAGCGCGCGCATGGCGCTGACGCGATGGCGCGCACGCGCGGCGCGCGCGCCGCTGCGCCGCTCGCAGCGCGCATCTCTGGCGCGCTCGCGCGCGCGCGCGCAATCGCGCTCGCGCTGGCGCGCGCGAGCGCTGGCGCGCCGCGCGCTCGCGACGACGTCGCGAGCGCGAGCTAGGCTCGACTCTTAACTCTTCTTATCCTTTTCATCTTATATCTTACTTTTTCTATTCCTTTAAGCCAACAACTTATCCTTATTCTTTTTACAAACCACAACCATTTATTCGTCTCTTCTCTTCTTTCGCTCTGTCCGCTTCATCTCTCTCTCTCTCTACCACTCTCTTCTCTCTCTCCTCTCTCTCTCTCTACTCTCTCCTCTCATCTCCTCTCTCTCTCTGCTCTCCTCTCTCCTCTCTCTCTCTCTCTCTATCTCTCTCTCTCTCTCTCGTCCCTCATCTCTCTTTCTGCTCTCTGTTCGCTCTCTCCTCTCTCTTCTTCTCTCTCTCTCTACTCTCTCTCTCCTCCTCTTCTCTCCTTCTCTCTCCTCTCTCTCTCTCTCTCTCTATCTATCTCTCATCTTCTCTCTCTCTCTCTAGAGCTTGTAGATTGAGAGCGGAGATATATCTAGAGATAGATATATCGTAGTAGTAGAGTATATATCTCACCGAGAGAGACAGTAGATCATAGAGAGAGAGACAGAGAGAGAGAGAGAGAGGAGGATAAGACAGCAGTAGACAGGAGAGGCGATAGAGAGAGAGAGAGAGAGAGGTTAAAACATGGAATCCTCAAGACCAATCAGGCCATGACATCTACCTGGAAATGCAGTTACAGACGGTTCACTTACCCTCTTGCCAGATTTGCCTATTTGTCCTGCAGACCCTTGGACTCCCCTGGGGCCCTGTGAAGGACATGTGATGATGGTCAGTTTATAGTCAGCTAGGGAACATTAACTGAGTAGGTATACATTAGCTATAGGTGTAGCTATAGGTAACTGTAGGTGAGGCATTGGTGACTGTGGTGAGATATACTGTAGGTAACTGTAGTCAGATATAGGTAACTGTAGTGAGGTAGAGGTAACTGTAGTGAGATATTGGTAACTGTAGTGAGATATAGGGCGGCAGGTAGCTTAGTGGGTAAGAGCGTTGTGCCAGTAACCGAAAGGTCGCTGGTTCTAATCCCCGAGCCGACAAGGTGAAAAATCTGTCGATGTGCCCTTGAGCAAGGCACTTAACCCTAATTGCTCCTGTAAGTCGCTCTGGATAAGAGCGTCTGCTAAATGACTAAAAATGTAAAATGTAAAAATAGGTAACTGTAGTTAGATTTAGGTAACTGTAGTGAGATATAGGTAACTGCCAGGGTTGTGGGTTCAATTCCCACGGGGGGCCAGTATAAAGAATAATGTATGCACTAACTGTAAGTCGCTCTGGATAAGAGCGTCTGCTAAATAATGTAAATGTAGTGAGATATAGGTAACTGTGGTGAGATATACAGTAGGTAACTGTAGTGAGATAGAGATACAGTAACGTGAGAGTATGACTATGAGTGGGTTTAGTAGTCTACAGGTAAATCTTGAACCGCTCACCTGAGGACCAGGGTCTCCGGCATCACCTTTAAGTCCAGGAGAACCAGGAACACCCTGAGAGAAAGATGGACCAATGAGAAACATGGACACAAACCATGTCAGTCCTATTGGCTGGATCATAGCACCACTCAGCCAGAGAGGTGTCCTATTGGCTGGATCATAACACCACACAGCCAGAGAGGTGTCCTATTGGCTGGATCATAACACCACTCAGCCAGAGAGGTGTCCTATTGGCTGGATCATAGCACCACTCAGCCAGAGAGGTGTCCTATTGGCTGGATCATAGCACCACTCAGCCAGAGAGGTGTCCTATTGGCTGGATCATAGCACCACTCAGCCAGAGAGGTGTCCTATTGGCTGGATCATAGCACCACTCAGCCAGAGAGGTGTCCTATTGGCTGGATCATAGCACCACTCAGCCAGAGAGGTGTCCTATTGGCTGGATCATAACACCACACAGCCAGAGAGCTGTCCTATTGGCTGGATCATAACACCACTCAGCCAGAGAGGTGTCCTATTGGCTGGATCATAGCACCACTCAGCCAGAGAGGTGTCCTATTGGCTGGATCATAACACCACTCAGCCAGAGAGGTGTCCTATTGGCTGGATTGAACATGTTGAACATATTTGCAGTCCACATTGTTCTAAGTAATTGCATGGCTTCGATATGGAAATATATTGTTAAACATCACATTCACACTGATATAGGGGCTAGGCCTACTGTAAATGGCATTATGGCTGAGCATGGACAAATGTTGTCAATAAGCAAGATTAAATTCGCTATTGATAAGGCCTGAAAAGAGAGTGATTCTAATTAAAACTAAATAACAACTTGTTTAAATATGCTATGTCTAAATACAGTTACAGGCCCCATCATAAAGGAGAAGACCTCCGCCCCCCCCCACTCCCCTACCCAGACTCCCCGTGGGCGTATAATACTAAGGCAACTCGGACTATGGAGCGTTTTACACAAATCCAAACTTTTCACAGAAGCTTGACAAAGATCCGGTATAAAGAGAAAGGGGGAATGTCCACTCTCCATCAGCCATTATATTGCTCCCAAATGTAATGTTTTATAAACATAACGGAACCATTTTGGTCATGATACATTTGCAATCTTTGGGGCAATATTGCCAAGCATTGTTGCTGGCAATGGAGAGGGGGACACTAGGAGCAATGATGAGCAATGAGCAACATGGACATGAATAATGTATTTCATATGAAGCATAGATCCATTTATAACTTAATTTCCCCATTTATTTACTAATCTCCTATAGCTTGTTATTGCCAGTTGAATGACACAATAAAAAGGTGTTTCCCCTGCCCTGTCCATCAGGTCAACCTGCTGCCAGTCAGGTCAAAGGCAGTACAGACATAAAGATAACTAGATTTAGCAAACTTCATAATCATAAACTAGAACAATGTGAATGGGTTTTAATTTCGCAAGTCCGCTAGTTAAACATACAAAAAAACAATCTAAAACGGACAACATTCTATCTGGCTTGCTAGCTAGCTAATTTAGCCAGTTTGTCCCATTGACTTCCGGCATCCGAACCGATTAGCATGCACTCAACTATGGATATTTTCACCAGTTAAACATGACAAACTGTACAAATTATGTACACTACCTTTCAAAAGTTTGGGGTCACTTAGAAATGTCCTTGTTTTCCATGAAAACATATGTGGAATGAGTTTGAATAGGAAATATATCAAAACGCATAGGAAATGTAGTCATTGACAAGATTAGATTTTTAATAGAAATAACAAACTTTGCTTTCGTCAAATAATCCTCAATTTTCAGCAATTACAGCCTTGCAGACCTTTGGCATTCTAGTTGTCCATTTCTTGAGGTAATCTGAAGAGATTTTACCCCATGCTTCCTGAAGCACCTCCCACAAGTTGGATTGGCTTGATGGGCAGTTCTTACGTACCATACGGTCAAGCTGCTCCCACAACAGCTCAATAGGATATTCGCAAATGGAAGAAACACAAAAGAACTGTCAATCTTCCTCTGCCTGGGGCTCCATGCAAGATCTCACCACGTGGAGTTGCAATGATCATAAGAACGGTGAGGAATCAACCCAGAACTACACGGGAGGATCTTGTCAATGATCTCAAGGCAGCTGGGACCATAGTCACCAAGAAAACAATTGGTAACACACTTCGCCGTGAAGGACTGAAATCCTGCAGCGCCCGCAAGGTCCCCCTGCTCAAGAAAGCACATATACATGCCCGTCTGAAGTTTGCCAATGGACATCTGAATGATTCAGAGGAGAACTGGGTGAAAGTGTTGTGGTCAGATGAGACCAAAATCGAGCTCTTTGGCATCAACTCAACTCGCCGTGTTTGGAGGAGGAGGAATGCTGCCTATGACCCCAAGAACACCATCCCCACCGTCAAACATGGAGGTGGAAACAATATGCTTTGGGGGTGTTTTTCTGCTAAGGGGACAGGACAACTTCACCGCATCAAAGGGACGATGGACGGGGCCATGTACCGTCAAATCTTGGGTGAGAACCCTCAGCCAGGGCATTGAAAATGGGTCGTGGATGGGTATTCCAGCATGACAATGACCCAAAACACACGGCCAAGGCAAAAAAGGAGTGGCTCAAGAAGAAGCACATTAAGGTCCTGGAGTGGCCTAGCCAGTCTCTAGACCTTAATCCCATAAAAAATATGTGGAGGGAGCTGAAGGTTCGAGTTGCCAAACATCAGCCTCGAAACCTTAATGACTTGGAGAAGATCTGCAAAGAGGAGTGGGACAAAATCCCTCCTGAGATTTGTGCAAACCTGGTGGGCAACTACAAGAAACGTCTGACCTCT